TCACTGCAACCTCCACCTCCTGGGTTCAAGCGATTCTCCTGCCTCAACCTCCTGAGTAGCTAGGATTACAGGCGCCCGTCATTACGCCCACCTAATTTTTTTGGTATTTTTAGTAGAGTAGTTTGGTATTTTTAATAGGGGTTTCGCCATGTTGGCCAGGCTGGTCTCAAACTCCTGACCTCAAGTTATCTGCCTGCCTTGACCTCCCAAAGTGCTGGGAATACAGGCATGAGCCACAGCGCCCAGCCAGGATTATCTCTTAATCTTCATAACAACCCTATGAAGTCAGTACTATTATTATCCCCACTTTACAGATGAAGAAGGTGGCGTGCAAGAGGTTTAAATAAAATGCCCATGGTTGCACAAATCATTCGTGGCTGAGATTAGGAGGCAGGACCCCAGGCCACTAGAGCTCATGCTCTTGACCAAGGAGGATCCAGGTTTTAAGAGGCCTGAAGCTTACCCATTTTGAGGGGCTTGGGTTTTTTTCAAAAAGCAACAGACTCTTTACTTAATGTGATTTAAAATACATTCAGATCAAGTCCCTGGCTGTTGTGAATGCTGAAAAGAGACAAAAAAGCTACCGGTGCAGCTTCAAACAAGTCTGAGCGTCAGGCTGGCCCATAAGGAAGGCAGTTGCAGGGACAGAAGGCAGCGCCTCCTCCAGGAAGGGCGAGAGGAGCAGCAGGGTGCCTGCCTGTCCCTGGGGTGACCGCCTCTGTGCTATGCAAGGCGGGAGGGCTGTGGCAATAGGCCTCGGACCTCCTCCATGGACACCAGCGAGTTGCCCTGGCCCCTGGGTCAGCCCTCAGCAGCGCCGCCATGATGGGGTGAAGGAGGGTTAAATAACCATCTTTACAGAAATAATATTCTCCTATAGGATGTGTCTGAGCTCAGTCCATGGTCCAGAAACCTCACAGAAAACAAACAACAAAGTTTTTTGAAGTGCTGCTGACACCTCTCAGAATCTGGTGTGCATGGAGCTCTCAGCTGGACAAGACCTCTTGGTCCTAAAACTGAGGTCACCTGTATGGGACCAGCCTGGGTGAGGAAGGCTCTGGCCTTCACTCACAGGGATAGGCCACTTCTTGAGGGGCTTTCTTGAAAAAAAAGCATATCAAAGAAATATTCGGCAAAATTTGCAAAAACCTATGATAGTGTGAACATATTGCTGGTCCCTTTCCCAGGGCCCTGGAAGGAGCTGTGCATTTGACAGGCTCTGAAGCTTCAGATTCAGGAGTTTCATGATAACTCTGCCTCTGATCTTGACACACACGCTGGAAACAGATAAGGAAAGGGAAGAAGGAGGAGAAAAAATGTCAAAAATAAAGAAGAAGAGATAAAAGGGTAGTAGTGGGAGGGAAAGAAGGGAGGAAAAATGGGAGGAGAATCTAAAGAGATGGGTAGGCAAGAGAAAGAGGCAGGCAAGACGGAGCTGACAGGGAGCTGAGGCTTCCTCTGGGAGAATGGGGGTTCTGGGCCGGGTGTGGTGGCTCACACCTGTAATCCCAGCACTTTGGGAAACCAAAGCGAGTGGATTGCTTGAGCTCCAGGGTTCGAGACCAGCCTGGCCAACATGGTGAAACCCTGTCTCCTCAAAAAACTACAAAAATTAGCCAGGCATGGTGGCTTGAGCAAAAATTAGCCGGGCATAGTGGCTCAAGTCAGTAATCCCAGTAATCCCCTGAGGCAGGGGAATCCCTTGAGCTCAGGAGGTGGAGGTTGCAGTGAGCTGAGATTGCACCACTGCACTCCAGCCTGGGCAACAGAGTAGGACCCTGTCTCAGAAAA